GTCTGTCCTGGTGAAGAAGGAGCTGAGCCAAAAGGCAAAGCTCTTGATTTACCAGTCGATCTACATTCCTACCCTCACCTATGGTCACGAGCTGTGGGTAGTGACCGAAAGAACGAGATCGTGAGTGCAAGCGGCCGAAATGAGTTTTCTCCGCAGGGTGGCTGGGCTCTCCCTTAGAGATATGGTGAGGAGCTCGGTATTCGGGAGGGACTCAGAGTAGAGCCGGGCATCTGCTTAGGACGCCTCCTGGACGCCTCCCTGGTAAGGTGTTCTGGGCATGTCCCACTGGGAGGAGGCCCTGGGGAAGACCCAGGACACGCTGGAGGGACTATGTCTCTCCGCTGGCCTGGGAACGCCTCGGGATTCCCCCAGAGGAGCTGGAAGAAGTGGCCGGGGAGAGGGAAGTCTGAGTTTCCCTACTGAGACTGCTGCCCCCGCGACCCGACCTCGGATAAGCGGAAGCTAATGGATGGATGGATGGATGGATGTTCATACCAAGATACCAAGTACCAATGTTTTGGAATAGTCAGTAACTACCAATTCATTGAGTGTACAAACAGTATGATTTGTAGAAAAAAACACAGACTCACATATTGCTTAATTTAACTTAATCTGTTGATAACGGCGACATTATAATGTTTCCATAACTTAAACTTGGAATTTTAAATGACCATTTTTAAAATTGATAACAGATAACAGAAAAGTCAGTGAACTAACAATATAGCAATTATTTCCTTTAAAATGAATTTTAGACAAAACATCAGATTCTTTCCCTATAATTAGTTTCCTTGAAATGCAATATATAATGTAAACTTAACCTATATGAAATGACACAGTGGCTGAGTGGATAGTACTGCTACTTCACATCTACAGGGCTAGGAAATCAAATCACATCTACGCCCTGTGTGTATGGAGTCTGCATGTTCTCCTTATCACTGTATTATCATGCATGATGTGTGGAAACATATTGTAGTTCTTCAGAATGACACAATGTACATATGATTAATGTACTCTATCACCTTATACTGGCTAAGCAGTATGACAACAGGTGGGTGGATGAATGATTAGTATTCAAAATGTGCTACAGTACCTGAGAAAACAACGCCAATGTGTTTACTGCGCTGAAGACACAGTTGTCCTCCTGAATGTTCCAATTTGGCTTTGCACAAATTGCAGTCCTGTTGCCTGTAAAATTGGCTGGGCAAAGTACAGTTGATATATTTCCATTCATACCAGTACCGTATGTTGGGTCATTACAGTCAGGCACTGGAATAAATACATGTGAAGATGGATTAGGGCTTTAAGATGCTTAAAGTTGGATTAATGTTTTAAGATTAGTGAAGCAAAGTCATGTTTCCACTGGGATTACATAATTTTTTACAAATGCAGCCAATGGACAAAATGCATTGTATTGTGCATTTTTAACAAAGGGAATGAAAATTCATTTTGAATAGGGCTGCATTCTGAATAGGGCCGCTTGTCTTAAAACACTCATTAACCTCGTACCTCCACTGAAAAACATTAGCGTTACATTATCTGTCAATGTTTGAGTTGTAGATGCTTTCTTGACAATCACTTGGCATGTGAGTTCCTTTGTATTACATTGCTTTGGTACTGGGTATGCAGCACTGACACAAAGCATGTTTGTTGTGGTCTGTACTGTAAAACGAAAAACATCAAATGTACAATATTCAACTGCAATATTAAACATATCAAATATTCAAACAAATACTTTTGTCACATTTACATACATTTTTAAACTTTGAGTGACACAATGTCTTTTTTTACATTGAGTTTATTTGTTACTGTTTAAAAGGATAATCTTATTGAAAATTTATTATCCAGATGCAGACCAGCTTTACATGCAGAGTACCTGGATATTAAATCAGTTTAAACATCTTTTAAAGAAATTTATGCATACAATAATGTAAAATAATATTGATGCCCATGTAAATTACATGTCCATAGAGCAATGTACAGGAACTTGCCAAGGGACAATAAAACAAATATATATTTATTTGAAATTGTAAAAATTACCAGAGGGTATTTCAACAGAACCGTCCATCCATTTTGCTGTAACGTTGTTAATTAGGTAGTATGTAACACAACACTCCAATGGGATATTTTCATTTGCTCCACATCGAACATTAATTGCTAATTTATTCAGCTGAATAATGGGAGGAATGACATCTGTCACTGAAATGGATTCCTCGTGGGTGAATGTCAAGAACGACTGAGTCATTGTGAACATGTATATTCCTAGATTATAAAGAGAAAAACAATGTCAAAAAACACGGATATTATTCACAATCAACAGCAGATAAAAGTATTACCAAGCACCTTAGCCAGGGAGCTCATTTATAAAATATAAATTTTAACTTTTCACATTGATGTATTCCTGAAGGCCGGGTTTCCAAATCAGCTTTTTATTTCATAATGCTTATTTTCATAATAATGGTGCGCTCTGTCAGTCACTGTCAGGGGGGTGGAATATTCGAGCTTGTGATTGGATAAAGTGTTTCCGCGAAAACAGTTTAAATTTACACAAATTTGGAGTTTCATTGGTTAAGATTAAAATTTGAAATATTATCAGATGGCAACCAATATAATGCAGTACAGACTGAACCCTTGAATAGATCAGTATTAGTCTGGGTATATCTTGGTACTGAAAGACCTTTTTTAACATGTACATTTGTACCATGTAGACGTGGTATAGAAAATGCATGTCTCCTTGGGTTTTTTTAAATGGGAATGTTTACCATGTCTAGAGGGTGAAAAATGCCATGTGGAGATGTTTTCTATCTCGTAGAGTATACCCCGACGGCTAGTGTTGGGGAGTAAGGAGTTACATTACATAACGCCGTTACATGTAATTACAATATTTTTTTTATTATAATCCGTTACAGTTACAGTACTAGAGTAACTCTAGAGTAGTAAAAGTGTAATTAAATTACAGTTACTTATGGAAATATTCATGATTACAATTTAGTTACAGTACATCATAAGACTGCATGCAAAACCTTGCTAATATCTTTAATAACAGTATTTTTATTGCTTTTCAAAACATCCTCCTTTGCTATTTCCCTCCATAGCCGAAAGTTTGAAACTATTCAATGCTTATGATTGTTTATCCTGTCGCGTCTACATTTGCAGCCAATTCTGCTAATTAACTTGCCGGAGCGGTCTGAGTTTCTGTTGCAGGCAATGGCAGACAAGAAAAGGAATGTATTCCATTGCTGGAAATATAAAAAAAAATTCCGATATATTACAGAACAAAGGCACAAATTTAACTATGCAATGCAGTGCGTGTTTACCGACTGTAAAGATGTTGTCTAAACAGGACACATCTAGAGGTAAGTGCAGCTTATTGTAACTGCAAACAGTCATATTAAATGTAGCACCCTTTCCCCGGATACTGCGATTAAGAGAGGGGCCCTGAGTACGTTCCACACCGACTCGTCGTTTACATCACCCTGCGTACCATCCAAAACCGTAAGAAACACAATTACCAATCGATCGAATGCAAACTCCCTGGATTTTTCATTAACAATAGATATATTAAATCAACCAAAGCAATATATATACATATCCCAACCCCAATGAGTTCAAATAACTGAGTATTTACAAAACACAAAAATAAACATGTCGCTCTGTGTCCATGAAATAAGTCAAAAGAATGGAAAACAGGGGAAAACGGTTGCAGGCCTGTTTCGGTGCTCGGGAGCGGTGACTTGGTGCTTATTTGATGCCAGAGGAAACCCCAAGCTTCTCCGGTAACTTGGGGCGCTGTCCGGATTATCTCCTTGGAAGCAACTCCTGGGAGTAGGTTCTCTGACAATCCGGTCAATTCCTTACTTTTCCGTCGCTGGAAACAAACTACATTTGCTCCGCTATTCTACACATCCAACTACTGACTTCCTTTACATCCTCTACAGCTTCCCAGGACTTTTCAAACCACTTCCTATATCTGCTATGCTGAGTAATGAATCACAAAGGATTAGCAAATCACAGGCTCAGTCCCACCAACCTCAAAGTGATTGACAGAGCGCTCTGGCATCATGAAATAAACAGCTGGTTTATAGAACCGTCATTCAGAAATACATCAATGTAAAAAGCTGAACTTTATTGTGAAATATAGTTTAATTAATTAAGTTGAAATATAATATCTAATGAAAATCACAAAATTATTGCAAAATACAATTTAATGATTATACATAGTAGACACACTTATAGTATACAATATTATGAAATGTGATACCTTTTATTTAATTATTTAAAAATAAAACAATAAAATTATTGAAATATTTGCTCATTTATTTACAAAGATATATATTTAAATATTTCACTTTAAGTATTATGGCATTCCATATATTACATCCTATTACTAACATACTATAAAAGTTATCAGTTTTGCTAAACACCTGTCAACAAAATTTTTAGATTTTCAGAAATGACCGATAATTAAATTTGTAGTATTTGGATAAAGCTGAGTAAGGAGGATGAAACGTGACATAATCGTAAATAAAAAATGAATAGAGATATAAATTTATTTAATTTCCAATTCCAAAGATTTATAGAAACATAAATTTATTTTGAAATGTTTTTATTATTCCAAAGATTTTTTTTTAATTGTGTTTTTTTATTCCAGTTTAATTCCACATCTGTATGTAAATGAGTTGGGCAGCCTTAAGCCTTTTTTCTAAAGCACTATTGCCCAGGGGGGACTTTGCTGATCTCTGCTCCATTACCTTTTAACATGTTCATCAACATGAACAGTGCACATATTGACATAGTTTTGGCACCATAAATATGAACGGTATAGAAATCTCACGACTTGGAAAGTCATGCAGTGCGAACTTAGCATTACTAACATGTCAGCTAAAACTTCTACTCATCCAAACAAGGCCAAGGTCATGGAGTGCAGATCAGCTTAGTCTGCTGGCCAGTAGTGCCTTAGAGAAAGGATTAGGGCTGCCCAACTCATTTACAAAGAGATGAATAAAAAAAAGAAAAAAAAAACAATAATAAAAAATCTTTAGAATAAAATACAATTTTAGATAAATTTTTGGAATCTAATAAATAAATACATTTATTTTTCTATAAATCTTTGGAATATAATTTTTTTTTCTATAAATCTTTGGAATGAAAAAATATGTAAATACATTTTTCTATTGATTGATTTATTTATGATTATGTCACGTTTCATCCTCCATAGCTGAGCCCATGCAATCTGGAAAATGGGTTATTGGATGTTTCACAGCAACATAAAAGTAAATGAAAAGTTTTGGTAGACAGAGTATACCGGGTTAGTCACCATTTAATACCATCACTATTGCCACTCTTTATTGTACATTAATACTCACTGATGACTCACTGATTTATTTTAACCTAAAAATAATAAGTTGGTTATCTGCTTACCATTGTCACCACCGCTCATGTCCTGAACAGTCAGTGTGGGAGGTGAATTGGTGATTGAATACTTTGCATTGTTTGACACCGGCAGACCATTCACG